CTTAGAATATTCACCTTTGCCGCCTAAAAATTTCATAGCATAAATTTGTGACACAGTACGGAAAAAAATCAGCCTATTACTCTTGCCTATTCAAAAAGGTCTCTGCAACCAACCGGCATGACAAAATTTTGAGGCGTCTGGTTTTATTCTGATGTAGATCTAGTCATGTGTGGAAATTGTGTGGACTCTTTTTGGAATCTTGCAGTGAAACTGATGGTATTTGCATTACTTTGCTCAGCAAAATTGATAATTATTGTCCAATGAGTACAAAACACATACAGCTATCTAGGTGTACACTTGCCATACGTGTCCTGCTGCCTCGCATTTAGGGATTTGGCAGTTAGGTGTGATAGCCTGAAACACCTCCTGCCAAAGGTTGTGCTTCTGTATTCCCTGCAGGTGGTGTCCCACAGAACTGGCACTTCATGGATGAGGTTGATTAGCACCTTCTGAGACCCATCCTTTGCGATACTTGTTAGCCCCTCCCTGGGTCATAGGTTGCAGTTATTTACAAAAAAGACTAATTACCAAAACATGATGACATTTGTTTACATTCATTTAAGTCGGTCAAATCGGAGACCTAGTCCATTTCAAATTGTGGACCTCAACAGACACGGATATTTGCAGATGTAAACGTATGCTCATCTGTTAACATCTGTACAGCCATGGAGATGAATTGTTTTCCGTTTTCCATTTGCAAACTGAGGTATGGAAAACAGACACACTGAAAAGGGGTCATTACCTAAATGGGCTGCTGTAGTACAATACATATCTAATGGAATAAAAAAAATTAATTAAGTGTTACAAACCTAAGTGTGAACATGTAACAAAAAGGAGACTTCTTCCCGTTTTTAAGAATAAATAATAAAAGCATGTTTGGACCAAACTGATATATAAATAACTATTGTGCTTTAAAGCAGAACTCCAGGCAAATCAAATCGCAAAATTTGCAGTGGGGCTACCCCCGTGCTGCAAGGGTTAAGTGCTCGTTTTGTCAAGGGAGCTAAAATAAGAAAGTTATACTCACTCAAACCACAATCCTGGCTTGTTCTTAGACCTGTCCCATCAGCCTTGCTCCCCTTCTGCTCCAGCAGTCTAAGGTCCTGTGAGTCATTACGTTCTATACAGTGTTTAGAAGGTGAGGACAGCAAAGAACATACCATCGCTGGAGCAGAGAAGGAGACAGGCTGGAGAGAGCGGTGTAGGAGCCAGTCTGGATCGCAATTCAGGTGAGTATAACTTTGTTATTTTAGCTCCCTAGACAAAATGAATGTTCATTTGTCCAGGGGCAAAGTTTATGTATTGCATTATGTGCTCGGGTACAAATTTCTTGCCATAAATTTGGAATTCGGCTAAACTGCAAAACCGGGAGATCTGCCTCGAACCCAAGGTGGTGGCAAATCCAAACCTTATCCCATATCCCTATTTATGAAACTGCACAGCTTTTCTGTTGAAAAATGCTGTACTGTATTCACTAGGGATGCACCGATATATCGGCCGCCGAAACATATCGGCGGCAAATGGCACTTTTGGCTAAATGCCGAAAGTGCAATTTTCCTGCCGATACATAGGCGCATCCGTGATTTCTTTCCTCCCCGCTGGGTGCTGCTCTGTGTCCCGGCGGGGAGGAGAGAAAGTGACAGCTGGCCGAGCGCTGCGGGACAAGAGCACTGTGAGCGGCCGGTGTCTCTCCTACACCGCTCGGCCGCCTATCACAGTGCGGCAGAGCGGTGTGGGGGTGGAGACAGCGCTGGCACAGTAGGCTGGGCTCTCCTCTCGCACCGCTCACTCAGCCTCCTGTGACAGTGTGTCAGAGAGGAGAGCAGGCTACATACACTCAGCGATCAGTGATCGCTGAGTGTTTGTAGATAATTGAGGATATGGTATGGTTAATATATCTTCAATTATGAATGAATGGGAGTGATCTATATCACCTCCTGTTCATTCATTATTGTGGTTATAGTAAACATACTATATTCTCAAGTTATCAATGAACAGGAACACTCATAGAGGATTCCTGTTCATTGATAACAGGGGACACAGAAAAAGAGATTGAGGACTCTGTGTTCTCAATCTCTTTTTTTTTTATTTCAATAAGTTTTTATTGGCATATAAATGTAGAAAAGCAAAATTTGTACATCCATTACAGGTGGCAGTACATGTGATACAGACATTGAGTAGTAACTGCACATGGCTTACATTACATTAGCATATCATATTGTCTATTACCATTTCAGTTTGTACATAACATTAGTGGTCAATTGCTGATAGTCATCACCTGTAGGATGATCGTGGTCAATCTCTTTTTTTATTTTAAAAGGGAAATATCAGGGGTCTGGCTAGACCCCTAATATTTCCCTGAAGCCCCTAAAAGTAAAGTAAAAAATAGTTTTAAAAAGTTTATACGTCTATCTGTATATGAATGTTCCCAGCATGATGCTCAAGGCTGGGTATATGTCAATAGGTAACACCCCCCCCCCCCCTTTGGAGCCAACAGCTGGTCCTTTGCACACCTTGTTACTCTGAATCCTGGCTGTTGATTGCTCCATTTACCCCTGTCAATCGGGAAGCAATCGGAACGTTTCCCTATCATGTGATCACTATGTCAGCTTTGACTTGGTTATCATATGCAGTCTGGAGGTTTCAAGGAACAACAGAAAGCGCCTCCATAGTGTAAAAGAGTAATTTAATGGTAAAACACGCAGCTCTAAGGCTGTACTTACAACAATTCGGTAGAATAAAAACCAGTAGAATAGGATGTGAAGTCGGAACCTCTAGCCCCAGAAACACGTAAACCTGCTGCTAACATAGGGACAGAGGACGCTGGTGATACTCATCTCTCCAGACTCTCCCTGCTAGAGGTTCCGACTTCACATCCTATTCTACTGGTATTTATTCTACTGAATTGTTGTAAGTACAGCCTTAGAGCTACGTGTTTTACCATTAAATTACTCTATTACACTAGCTAGACTAGACAAGCTCCTTTTGTTCCTTGTCTCCTAGATTGGTGGTCAATTTGACCTGTGAGAGCTGCCCCTCTCGTGTCTGCTGTATTGAACTGCTGGGCACCCCGCAATTGAAGGCGCCGGTATTTTTTGTTATTTAGGCTAGAGGTTTCATTAAAGTGACACTAAACTCAGGAGTTAAACCTTAAAAATACATTTAAGTACCTTCTTTATTAACAAAAATGTAGGTTATTTGTGTATCACTCGGCTATAGATTCTCAAATCATCTCTGAATTTGTGCTGACACGGTCCTTCCTTCTGGAAGGTGGCTACTTTTGTTCCCCATGGTACCTGTGTGTGTTGTAAAGTAGCCACCTCTCCAAGCGCACTCCTGTGATGGACTACAATCTTAATACAAATTAGTAAACAAAGCCTGAGATTGTAGTCCATCAAGCTTGGAGCGGTGGCTACTTTACAAGACAAAAAAGTAGCCACCCTCCAGAAGGAAGGACGGTCTCCACACCAATTTTGAGATGATTTGAGGATCTGCAGCTACACAAATAAAAATGCATTCAAGTACCTTAACTATTAACAAAAACAGAGTTTTAAGATTTCACTCCTAAGTTTAGTGTCACTCTAACAAAAACAAGCCATCAGCCTGTAGATGCCACTGCAGCCTGAATGTGACCGTTTTCATATCTTAAATTATATAATTGTTAGCTACAATAACAGTGTAACATAAATACAAATATAGAAAAATTGTTTGTGCATTTGTTAGCTCAGGGCTCAAAATTTCCACTCGCCTGCTCGCATTTGGCGGGTAAAAATAAGGTGAGGCCGAGTGGAAATTTGGGTCTCCAAGTACCGGTCCGCGGCCCAAATGGCGAGCCGGTACTATGTGACCCGCAGACAGCTGACATGTCGGGCACACGGTATGGTTAATAAGGGGGAGCGTATTATTTTATGTGTGGGGGGTTAATAAGGGGGAGTGTATTATTTTATGGTGGGTTATTTAAGAGGGTGAGTTTAGGGGCGGAGTTAAGGCCGGGGCAGGGTAAGGGTTAGGTGGGCCTGGCTAGTAGTGGCTATAAAACAGTGCAGGGATTTTATTAAAACAGTGTACCAAATAACAGCCTTATATGTCCTTTAAAAATATAAAAAATGATTTAGGTATGTAAACTATTTAGGCTTATTGTCACGTTAACGGTGCATGCTAACGGTGCCAAATTGAACCTGAGCATCATGACCTCTGGTCATGAAGGGGTTAATGGGTAGTAGCAATTAGGTAGGCACATCTAATTAATTAATGAATTGCTTGGATAGTCATTGTACTTGCTGTACCTGATCCATTTTTTTGCCACCATTGTTTTTCTTTTTTTTATATCTACAAATAGGGTCATTAGATGGAATCTCTCAGGATAAAATATGGGAAATGCCATTCCTGCATTGTTTCAAAGGTGTGTATGTTAGACCTTATGCTTCCTTTACTACTGAGTCTGACCCACACAAAGGATTCACATGTGATGTGCACAACTGCATGCCTGAAATGCACATGTTTGTACCAGCTCAGTGTCTCAGCAAGTAGCAAAGGAAATATAAGGATGACAGCTCTGAAGCCTGCACTTTTAATGCAAGTTAGTAATGGCAGCTTTGTCACCTAAAAAAAGGCAGAAAATATAATAAAAGCAGAGAACCAGATATGTTTGCAAGCTCGGTAATAATCCTTTTAGAGTTCCTTGTGGAGTGTTTATAATGTACATTTCAAAACCTCGTACTTAACTCGTCACATGGCTTACATTTGGGCAGTAAGGTTGCTTATATTTATGGCTCAGAGTAAGATGGGGATAGTTAACAGGCTCAAGATGGAAACAGCAGTAAAGACTTGCATAGCAGGGAGCTCGAGCTTTTGGAGCTTCCAAGGCTGTCCAGAAGAAAACATTTATGCAAATACCTCGTATTTATTTCTTGCTGTGAACTTGTGACATAAGAGTACAACCGTGTGATATATTACACCATAGAAATAATTAAGCACCTTTATATTGTTTTCTTATGCAGGATGTAGAAAATATTTTTAGTCGAATCATCGATATCCATGAACTAAGTGTAAAGCTTCTGGGCCTTATTGAGGACACAGTAGAAATGACAGATGAAGGCAGTCCTCATCCTTTAGTAGGAAGCTGCTTTGAGGACCTAGCGGAGGTGAGTTCTAGGACAAGTTGCTTAGTGTTTATATTACCATGAAGTTCTGAATGCAACTACTTTTACTTGGTGACCCTGTGTCAGAAGTACACCAGACCACTATCTTTGGCGGTAAAAATGTTTTATATTTTTGTAAATATTTTATTATATCATTTCATGTGACGACACAGAAGAAATGACACTTTGCTACAATGTAAAGTAGTGAGTGTACAGCTTGTATATCAGTTTACATTTGCTGTCCCCTCAAAATAACTCAACACACAGCCATTAATGTTTAAACCGCTGGCAACAAAAGTGAGTACACCCTTAAGTGAAAATGTCCAAATTGGGCCCAAAGTGTCAATATTTTGTGTGGCCACTATCATTTCCAGCACTGCCTTAACCCTCTTGGGCATGGAGTTCAACAGAGCTTCACAGGTTGCCACTGGAGTCCTCTTCCACTCCTCCATGACGACATCACGGAGCTGGTGGATGTTAGAGACCTTGCGCTCCACCTTCCATTTGAGGATGACCCAGAGATGCCCAATAGGGTTTAGGTCTGGAGACATGCTTTACCAGTCCATCACCTTTACCCTCAGCTCCTTTAGCAAGGCAATGGTCGTCTTGGAGGTGTGTTTGGGGTTGTTATCATGTTGGAATACTGCCCTGCTTCAGTATGTCACAGTACATGTTGGCATTCATGGTTCCCTCAATGAACTGTAGCTCCCCAGAGCCGGCAGCACTCATGCAACCCCAGACCATGACACTCCCACCACCATGCTTGACTGTAGGCAAGACCCACTTGTCTTTGTACTCCTCACCATCTGAACCAAATAAGTTTATCTTGGTCTCATCAGACCACAGGACATGGTTCCAGTAATCCACGTCCTTAGTCTGCTTATCTTCAGCAAACTGTTTGCGGGCTTTCTTGTGCATCATCTTTAGAAGAGGCTTCCTTCTGGGACGACAGCCATGCAGACCAATTTGATAGAGTGTGCGGCGTATGGTCTGAGCACTGACAGGCTGACCCCCCACCCCTTCAACCTCTGCAGCAATGCTGGCAGCAACCTGTCCTGTTAACCAGCTGTATGGTCTTGGCCACTGTGCTGCAGCTCAGTTTCAGGGTCTTGGCAATCTTCTTATAGCCCAGGCCATCTTTATGTAGAGCACCAATTCTTTTTTTCAGATCCTCAGAGTTCTTTGCCATGAGGCGCCGTGTTGAACTTCCAGTGACCAGTATGAGAGAGTGAGAGCGATAACACCAAATTTAACACACCTGCTCCCTATTCACACCTGAGACCTTGTAACACTAACGAGTCACATGACACCGGGGAGGGAAAATGGCTAATTGGGCCCAATTTGGACATTTTCACTTTTGCCAGCGGTTTAGACATTAATGCCTGTGTGTTGAGTTATTTTGAGGGGACAGCAAATGTACACTGATATACAAGCTGTACACTCACTATTTTACATTGTAGCAAAGTGTCATTTCTTCTGTGTCGTCACATGAAATTATATAATAAAATATTTACAAAAATGTGAGGGGTGTACTCACTTCTGTGAGATACTGTATATATGTGGCATTTTAGCAACAAAAGGAAAGTGCTAGAATTTAAAATTTCAAGAATATATTTATACTATTTTCATCACCTAGGCAACAAAGCTGAATATTTAGTAAGCCCCTCATTAAAACGAAACCCACCGTAGCAACCTTCCATAAAAACTCCTTTACATTTTTAGAAGACAGGATTATCACAAAGCCATAACAAACTCAGTGGGCACCATTTACAAAAATTAGAGGTGGGCTACACCTGGGTTAACTGCTTGTTTTTGTCTAGGGGTTGTGTGTAAAGCACTTTTATTTACCCGATCTCCACTACCACAGACTCCAAGATCAACGCCCACAGCCTCTTACCCCCTCCACTCAGGCAGCTCACTGATGTCATCATGTATAATGCAGGGCCCATAGCCCTGCACTATTTGTGAAGATGCTGTAGACTGGAAAGAGGTGAGCACTGATTACTGAGAATGTGGGGATTGGTCAAGTAAGAGAATTTTACCAAGTTCTCCTAGACATTAACAAGCTGTTACCTCTAGCATTACAGGGGGGGGGGG